AGGATTAATAACTAGATTCTGGTTAGGCAGTCATAAAGTCAAATCATGAGAGGAGGGGAAAGAATTGTTACCCTGTTATTCATTCTGCCATTACCTGAGTTATATAAATCTTGAGTCTGTGCTAAATATGAGCACATCAACCTCTGTGGCTTGGAATCTGTTTTTCTATTACATTACATCAGGCACTGATATGGGAAAGGAGGAGAAAAGTCTACGAAACTATTGGTTATTAGATTTAGAGTTATTATATTCATGGGAAATAGGGATGTGCTAAACTCACTAATTCAGGACCAGAACATTACTGAGAATCCTAGAATGGTCCTTTGCCCCTCTGAATCATGCCAAACTCTTCTGGACCATGCCATCTATAAATCTTCTATCTTCCTCTAGGTCTTAGATTGTCTGCTAGGTTAGAATTTGTAGTGGTAGCTATCACTGAAGGCATCCAGTTGAACAAACACAGCCACAATAATTAGTCCTTAGAAGTATAGTAATGAAGCTCTGAGTTAGGCTGAAGACAAACACTAAGAATGTTGAAAGTACTGTGATTCTTTACTTTACACATTTATTGTGTTCCATTGTTTTCAGAATTAAGTGTAAACTAGAAGCAGTTCAAGGTGTCCAGGATAAAACAGTCCTGTTTTGTGGCCAGGCCATCTTGGATTACCTCAAACTACTTCTGAATAGGAGAATTAACTTCTAGAAACTGTCAAACTGCTATTGGAGCAGCACGATCCAGATAAGGTTTGGCACGGTCCAGAAAATTCTCCAAAATGTTCCATTCCTGGATTGGTGAGTTTTCATATCCATCATGGGAAAGTGTATTCAGATTCTAGATCTATTAATCAACAAGCTTTTTTTAAAAAAATGTATTCCAAATTGTATAATTCTAATTCCTCATCAACAGATTATGAGACAGTTTTCAGCAGAAAACAAGACTCTCTCCTCAATTACAGCAGTAATGGCTGTGCTATTGGAAGACTTGAAGGTTAGGCTGGAACAGATCATACTGTGGAGAAGGTCTATCTATGAGGTTGCTAAGACTGATTGATAGTGCACAATCAATCAATCAGCAAGACTCCCACAGAACCAGGTTATTAAAGTTACTGAAATTAGGATTACAATTAAATTTATCAAATTAGGAGAAGCTAATAAACACCTAATAATTTCCCAGAGGATTGGTATAAAAAGTATTGTGGGTTTTAATCTCCTCTTTTATTAGGAGGATATGCTGAAGCTTCTTTAAATAAACTCCAATCTCCCAGTTTTAGCAAGGCAAATATTAACAGTCCTTTCCAAAGCAGGTGAGGATTCTACTGTGTGTTCCAATTATAAACCTATTTTCTTGATAAATGCAGATGCCAAAATTTTAATAGCTACCTTGGCCTACAGATTACAGCTTGTTCTTTCAACTATTGTGCACTGAGCTCATGGTGGATTTCTACAAGCCAATAGGGTTCAGATAATATTAGACTGGTGAATTATGTACTTGCTTTAACTCAGTGTCGAATCCAGCAGCTATTATTTCTTAAGATGCTGAGAAAGCTTTTGATATGCTAGGTTTTGAAGTGGGATTTGCTTTACTTTAGATATCCTTAATGTTTTATATTTTGGAGTGACATATTTTGTCTGACCCCTAGGTCACAATATGGTTACTAATGTTGTATCTTTTCTCCCTAGTTGAATTTATACTGTGATACACATCAAGGATATCCTTTTTATCCTTTTCATTTTAAAGTAGTTTTGGAACTTTTCCTCTGTATTTTTAGAAGTTCTGAAAATACTAAAGGAAATACAGCAAGGCGAGGCAAATATATTTTATATATATGACTGAAAATTCCATTCTTAATCTCATTTTTACTATATGAGTTTGATATTCTGCCTAGTTGCCATTTAAAATGGGATAATTAGACTTGATGCGATTGGTCTTAGTTATAATTTTGTGTTTTAGATTGTTTTCTATTTCTTGTGTTTATCATTGTATAAAGATTCTGTAGAGGGTAGAGGGAATGGCCTTGAAGGACAGCAGGAAGAACTGCTGCCATGGCAATAATCACATAAAAAGGGCCTGAGCCCAGATCTAGAAAGTAACTTGAGAAAATGTCTCAGACAAGCCCCTCGCTAGTTCAAATGAAGGTGAAGGGAGGAAAGGGGAAACACCTCCAAACTTGTGAGATTCTGTTTTTATTTATTTATTTCATTTTATTTATATTTCAAATTTGGTCACTGCCCATCTCATTAGGAAGTGATATAGCTTTTCCAATAAAAGTAGTACTGACCTACATGGTATTGATTTCTTAGTCTGGTCTACCTTGCAAGGCTGACAGATTCTTGTGAAGCTTTCTCAAATGATAAATTTGAACATATTCCTCATTATATAAAAATGAAAGAAAAATCAGAGAAATTGTCTAGAATCTGTTTGATTCTGTTCCTTATCTGAGGTAAGATAAATATGAAAAAGATGAATTTGAGGTTGGTTTACAGTTTAAGAAATCTCCCTAATTTTATGCACACTATTCTTATTCATACTATTTATAAATTAATTCAAGATTTTCACTATGTAATAACAATTTACCTTTTATGACTAGCTTGGAAATATGCTAATGTGCAAAATGTAGTTGCCTGCATGCTGGTCAGCGTGAGCTATTACAGTACATCGGTGTGACCTAACCTTTGGTGGGCTTGGGACGGGGCAGTGCTGAATATGAGGGTGATCTGGTTGTGACATCTGTCACTCCATTGATCACCAGGATTGATTCGGCTGATGTGGCTGGCTAGGCGGATGTCCTCTTTCTCCCTCAATGCTCCATAAGTGTTCCTACCAAAACTGCATGGTGGAAGAGGATGACCATCCCAGATAGGAGTATACTGATTTTTAGTTAAGGGTAAATGATAGCTGTGCTCCTCTGCTAAAACATCCAAAGAAGTGCAAGGTCCATTCTAGCCCTCCTTAATCTCTCTGTGGCCTTCAATATTAACCAGGCTTAGAGGGTTGGGAGTGGAGGGCCCTGTTTTACTCCTCTACCCAGGACCAATTCTAATCAGTGCTGGTGGGGTGGAGATTAGTCCAGCCTGAGAACTCTGCTTTGTGGGTGCTTCTCTCTCCCCTCTCCTTTTTAACATCTACACAAAGTGGCTGCAGGATGTCAACTGTTGGCATCAGTTGCAACATCATCAGTATGCTGATGATATTAAATTGTATACTCTTTCCCAAGCCGTCCAAGTGAAGCTGTTCCTATTCCAGTATCTTGAGGCTGTGGGGGACTGGATGGAGAAGAACAGGCTTCAGATCAACCCAACCAAGACTGAATGGCTGCGGGTTTGGGGCCCCACTGATCCTGGAACTGAAGAGATGTCATCTTTAAATCTAAGTGATGTTACTCTGCCTTGCTAGGATTCCCTGTGCAATCTGGGGGTCCTCTTGAACTTGCAACTCTTGCTTATAGAGGACATTTTGTGCACCAATTGTGCTCATTCCTGAAATAGGGAGCCCCGCTCTCAGTCATTTATGCCTTAGTGGGGTTGTCCTTGAAGATCATTCAGAAGCTCAGTTCATCCAGAATGTGGTGGCACAGGGAATAACTGGTGTCTCTCATTATGTTCACATAACCCCTCTACTGTGCAAACTGCACTGACTCCCAATAGGCTTCCTAGTACAATTCAACATGCTGGTTATCACTTATAAAGTCTTACATGGCATAGGACCAGGTGATCTATGGGACCATCTAATCCTGAGGATATATGCCCATCCAACATGTTCCAACAGGGGGAATACCCTCTGTGTCCCTTCACTGAAACAATGCCATCTTATGGGAGCCAGGGGGTATGCCTTCTCTGTGGTGGCCCCTGCCCTTTGGAACAATCTTCCCCTGGACATGCAGATAAGACTCTTTGCCTGGGCTTTGGGATCAGGTTATGCTGAGTACTGTAATGGTATGTGGGAATGACCTTGGGAGACAGGGGGAAGAGCTGCAGACTAGACAACCATAATGCAAAAAGTATCTCAGCCCACGGAACAGGGGGGCAGTGGGAAGCATTTCAGAAGGGACCTTCCCTAGTTTTCTGGACAGTAAAAGTGAAGGAGGGGAGAAATACTTTCAGACTTGCAAGATTGATGATAGCCCTCTGAGGTAGTCCAGACAAGAAGCACAAACTATGATTACTAACACTATTTTTATTGAAGGTTACATTAACATAATCTTGCAAGTAAAATAATAGACTAAAATAGTTATTGCTTTTTATCTGGAAAGAATGTGTATGTTCAGAAAACTCCAACTGCTTTCTAAATATGTGTCATCTCACCTTTCCTTGTTTTCTCTTACCTAGTGCAGAGTTTACAGTCTCAAAATAAATGTTTATGAAATGTAATCCATTTGGATTACTGTAATACACTCTACAAGGAACTGCCCTTGAAAAGCATTGGGAAGCTACTGCTGGTACAGAATGGGGTAGCCTGAGCAGTGATGTTTGTGTCCTAATATAGTTGGGTGACTCCACTGCTTTGAGAGCAGTCTTGGTTGCCAGTTGGTTTGCAGGTGCAATTCAAAGTGTTGGCTGTCATCTCTAAAGCCCTACATGGCTATGGACCCGGTTACCTGAGGAAACACCTTCTTCTGCATTTATCTACCTGTCCAACCAGATCAAATAGGATTAATTCCCACCAGGACCTTGATGAGGTCTCAGAAATAGGCATTTTGAAGAACCCTTATTGGTAGAGATCTGGTCAGCTTTATCCCTCTTGTCTTTAAGAAAACCATGAAGATCCATCTGCTCCATATTGCACAGGAGAAGGATGTATTATAACTAAAGATGGAGTTCAGGGATGCATGTTTATCCCTTTTTTTAAGCTTGTATAATTTTTATATGTACTTTGGGGTTATTATTTTATGTTGGCATTGTTAGCCACCCAGAAGATCTGCAAATGGGTGGCATTTAAGCTAAATAAATAATAAATAGATAAATAAATGAGATTTTCAAAATATTATCTTGAACATTCTCACCTTTTAAAGATCATTTCTCAAATGAAGAAAAGTAAGGAACTTTGGCTTGACTTGATGCAACACAAATGTGGGAAAAGACCTAGGGAAAAAGCAATAAGAAGAATTAACAAATCACTGATCCTTTTGCACTACCTAGATGGTATGTGTCAAAATTATTCCATTGCTAGGCTTACTGAATAAAGTGCATTTAACCTGAAAAAATCCAGTTTGAATAGGAATATTGGGATTCAATATTCCCAACAGGAACTATGGATTCAAATTCCATTTGCATTTGAATTGCATTTGCAATTCAAATGCAAATTTCATAGTTTGATCTGATCACATCTTTGATCCAACACAGTTTGTCAGAGTCAGAACAAACAATTAGCTGAGGCATTCACTGTTCCACTTGGAAGAGTTTCCCCATGCGATTTATTTATCTATTTATTTCTAAATTTATATGCCACCCACTCCAGTCTCTCTAGGCAGCTTACAAAAATACCCATTGAAAATTCTAAAAAAGTGCTTATCGCATATAAGATGACTCTGCTAAAAAGTTGGGGCTGTTCATCGTCCAAAGGATACAATTACTTTTTGCAGCTGTGTTTTAAAATCCATAACTTTTTATACGAGTCCCTTACATTATTTTTCCTTTATTGTAGAATTCTATCCGAAACCTCATTATTCCAGCAGTGAGATACTGTTCCCCATGAGACTTATATATCTGTGTTAAGCTTTAATATATTGCTACAGATGCTTTAAAATAACATTTATGCAGTCTTTATGGAATTAAGGGCAACTTCCCATCTGTGAACACATGCAATGGAATAGAATCTGCTTGTAGTGGACTGGTGCATGGATCTGATGATTAATATTTAACGGATGTTGGTCTTTTATGTAGGTCAAAAAGAGAAGATAAATAGAGGTGCTGTAGCATTTTCACAGGCACCCTCTTTCTGCCTCCTGATTTCCCTGAATTATTAATCAAAGGAAACTGTTCTGTCCAGCCCATAATGTGCACCCTGAGAAAACTCCCCAATGATGATGATGCCTCCAGGAGAGCAGCTAATTGTTCCAACAAGTCCTGATTTCATGTGCTTTTCTGAAAGATAATCCAAATTGTACTTGTAGCATCTAAAAATATTGTAAACTGATGCAGCTTTAGCTTCATTTGCCTCGCATTTTCTTTTTCTTGCAAATGTTTTTTTCCCTTTCTGCTAAAATAGAGGCAGCTGTTTGCTATGAAAACAAATCCCTCTTCTTCCCCTTTTCTTCCCAGCCTACTGTTTCTGCACTGCAGTAGGATGCTCACAGTTGGTTGTAAATGTTCATTCACAGTTTTTGAGTCTCCCTGTTAGCTATTCCAGAAGACACGGGGAAAATAGAGCATTTTAAGGCACTTTGTTTTCATAAATCCGTTTTATTTCAGTAATGCCACTGAAGTTTTATATTCAATTTCTTTATATCTCTCAAGACCTAGTTATAAACTTAGGCAAAGGGTATGTAAAATATTTCCTCTTTTGGGAGAAGGAAAGGATGGAAAAAGAGATAATAGGAGTCACTTGTTTCTCCAGTCTTAGACTATCCTGCTGCATTGTTAATATAAAAGTGACTAACAGAAAAGATTGTGGAGAACAGAGATACTGGAATAAATAAAAGAGAAACGAGATTCTTTTCAGTAATTCAACAAGGTGATGAAAAGAAAATGAATAGAGCCACTTGAACTGGAAGGCCAAGGATGGGAAAAAATTCTTCTCTCTTTCAGTACTAATATATATAGCTCTGAAGTTCAGAAATTTCATGTATTCCAAAGAATGACTGCAATAGTTAGAAGGATTTTTCAATATTGCAGTTTTCTCTGGGACCAAAAGAGGCATAGACAAGTCACTTAGCAGTACGCAGCTTTGTGAAACAACAAACATTTAAAAAATTCTTTTAATTAAAGAAAAAATGCTTTGCAAAACAAATCCTCAGCTATCAGTTTTGGTACTACACCATTTCTTCGGCACACATACGGCCATGTGAACATGCCGGAGACCTTTTTATTCTTTCCAACATAACAATCTTTGAATGAATT